TGTATCTTAAAACATACGGTGACACATTCAGGTTATGTCATCCTTAGCTTTAGCATATAACGTCATAATTACGATATTATACTGTGCTTCTCCTTCAATACGCAGGCGGTCAAGAAGAGAGAAAAACGTACCAAAGGACGAGAAAGGAGAACTAAACAAAGATGGTGATAAGGAAGGTAACAAGGATTTCAAGCGCAAAAAAGGAAAATCTAAAGAACTGGGGTAGGAGCTCATGCATGTTGAATACATTTTGCTTAACATGGATTTCAGTGATAATGTTGAAAAACCAGCCGAGTCTTCTGAATTGCAGGACGGTCACGAGCAGGTCAAACCAAGGTGAGAGCCGAGCATTAGACTGTTTTTGCTGATAATAGAATAACTTTAGTGAAGCAAACGTAAAGAAACCGACCCAGTCCGTTGACTTGCAAGAAAATCGTGAGCAGCTTAAGCCAAGGTGGGACTTCCAACATCACGAAACCTATCTCTTCAACTATTAATTGCTCTAGCGAAGCAAAGATGAAGAAATTGGCTTCGGCTTCTGATGTTAAAGAAAGTCGTGAACAGAGTAAAGTGAGAAAGAATAGAAATTTTAAAAGTTGTAGCCATTTTAAAGGAGTACTACGTTATCAGATTTTGAAGTTTCAAAGAAAAGTGCAGATACAATACAATACAGATAAAAAATACAATTTGCAGCGAAGTTCGAAGTCACCAGGGCAGAGAAAGAACGCAGGTGAACAGGAAGGTGCTGAGACAGATGAAATACCAGCAAAGGGGTCCAAAGATAAGGTGAGATGTAGATTGACAAAAGTTCTACGGTGTACTAGAATGATTTCAACATAATCGAATTTTGAAGGTCGCAAAAAAGTACAGTCTTAATAAAATTAAAATTTGCAGCAAGATTTGAGGTCACCAAAGCAAAGAAAGAACGCAGATGAACAGGAAGGTGCTGAAACAGACGAGAAGCCGGCCAAAGCTTCTAAAGATAAAGTGAGAGAATCAAGTCTCCACCCAGAAAACACTTTACTTTTTGATAGCTTGTTTTGTTTTTCAAAATTCTCCAACTAAGAGTTCTTTTCCATGTTTTGGATTGAATTGCGAGTTTAGGAAGGCAAAGTTGCCAAAAGTGCTAAAGTTGAGGCGGACGATGTGAATTTGAGAACAGCACGTGGCAGAGTGAGCTCTCCACAAGACTAATTGGAGAGATATTGGAATGAATAATAAGCAATGAAAAAGTTAGATTTTTGATCTAAATTTTTGTGTAGGAAATGTAATGTTTCAGATACTCTACACTAGATAATAAATAGGAACATCATGTTTCTTGTCAATAAACACATTTCTTGAACTTGCTGCCTTTTGAGATTATATGAGTGCAAGCTCACATCCGAACTTTTGTTC